TGCACTTTGGTCTATTCAGAGTCTGGTTGATCTGTGCTGTCCTTCTTGGACTTCCTTTGGGCAGCAAGACCAACATATTTGCCATGCTTGGAGTAAGCCCTTGAAGATACATGTTGCATTTCACTCTTGCTCAAATAGGAGAAGAGGATGCTCAGATTTGAAGGGTCCAAAGGCTTCAGGCACATCCCACTTCTCCCCCTGGAAGCAAAAAGTGTAGTGCTTCTTCACAAGCGCTGCCATGAGGGGACAAGGTTTCTAATGGCAGCTATATGGGCACAATGAAAGTTCAGAACAAAAAGCGGCAGGAAACATACACCTCTATTTTGTCAAACTGCTCAAAAGCTGTAGGTGGACAGGCAAGTGCTGGCAGCTTTTTACAATCAGTTTGCACAGTCATCAGAAGCAGGAGGCCAGGTAGGCCAGAGTTTATGAGGTTTTTCTCTTCTTGGCTGGCATGGTGTCTTTTGGCATCATTCACCTTGATCAAGCAAATCTCACTGTGTTTCTCAATTGGCTGGGTGTTCTTCATCACCTTGACCTTCATTTTGCCAATGTCCACATGGCAATATGACATTTGGCCACCATCAGGTGTCTCTTTCACAAGAAAAAATGGGACTATTGGCCCTTTCTCAATCTCTTTGCCAAGCTTTGGTGGCATGATGTAGATGTGGGGTGCATCGGCCCTGGAAGCCCAACCCCAGCCTTTCACCTTTGGTCCTTCAAACAAAATGCTGCTGACATGGTCTGTCATGGGTAGGAGCATCAACTCATTCTTTTTGAACTGCTTGTTGGCTATCAATTTCAAGCCTTGTCCAGGCTTGACCATAATGGAGACACAATTTTCATCTGTGTCATGCTCATCACATGCTGCCATCAACTCTTGGTAAATCACACATTTCAAGAGTTCAAGCTGGCGAATAGATGAAGGGAACAGAGTAGCAAGCAACTCAGGCTGCAAGAGGTAAGGCTTCTTCTGTTTCACAAGCCTTCCTTTTTCCAGGAACTCCTCTGCGCCCACTGTCAAAGTTGTGGCCTCCCCAGTGAAAAGGTCATGGCTGCACAAAGATGCACTTTCACTTTCAACCTTCAGTAGATCAAACAGTGTGTTTGGATAGTCCTTGTGGCAATAAGTCTTCCTTGTGGCCAGCTCTATCTGCAACCCCACATTGAACATAGGGGTGTGTGACTGATCCAAGCTGACTGCACTCTGTGGCTGTGGCTGTGGCTCTTGGTTGGCGCTCACAGCTGGAGCCAGGCACAGCATCCCACCTGCACTCTCCAATGGCTTCCAAATTGGCATATTCCTTGCATTCCCTGCCAATTTGCTCTTTCTGCAGCAAATGCAGCGCAACCCTGAGGCAACACCTACCAAATGCCTTGCATTTGTTGATGGTGTTCAAATCAGCAGCATTCACATCAGTCCACTTCTTGGTGAGAAGCTCCTCTGCTTCCAAGACCTGGCCCCTGCACTTTTTTGCCTTCAGCCTATCCAAGTCCCCCTTGACCAGCATCCTGCTGAATCCATCCACCCTTTTTGACTCTGGGCAGGTGATCTGAGTTGCCAGGAGTGCGACCTTCAAGAAAGTGGTCATGTTTGTTGGCACAAACTCAATACCAACCAAGTGGACAAAGAAGTCCTTGCCAACCATGCAGGAGCTCCCAAAATGCTTCTGGAAATCATTCACAAAGCTCACCAGAGGGTAGCTTTTGTCTTTGCCACCACCATGCTTTTGAACGAACTTGCCAATGACATGGCAGTATGGAGCAATGTAGCTTGAAGTGCAAGATGCCTTTGACAAAGCATCAAAGTCAACATGTTCTCCTGTAGCACTTGCAGCTATTGTGAGAGCCAGCTCCAGCTCACCTTGGGCTTCAAAAATTGAATTCACAGAATTCAAAGCACCTGCTGCCAATGTGGGCAAGCTAGGCCATTTGGCTTCTACATGCCATGGCACAACTGTCCATTCCCATCCTTGGGTAGCCATCAACTTCAGAACTTCATCCTTGGAGGCAAGCTGCTCCAAGCAAAGGTTGCCATTTGGGTCGTGCAATTCCTTTTGTGGTGTCTTGCAGCCAGCAACTAAGGCTTTCATGAACTGGCTAGTGTGGGTGCCACTGACAGACATTGCCCTTTCACTATGGCTCAGGGGTGCCATCAAACCATTGGAAGCTTCAACAAGCTTCTGGTTGAATGCTATTTGCTGCCCTCTCTTGTCTTGACTTGGTGAGAACCCAAAGCACACACAGGAAGTCAAGTGCTCCATGGATGCACCACACTTGATGATTTTGGCGCCCTTCTCATGCATATTGAACGCATGGCACCCTGAGCCACCCCTGTTCATTGGGTGAACAGCCAAGGTGTTGCAATGCAAGGTGGCTTTGAATGCAACATTGCTGTCCAACAGCCTTTTTTCTATGAGTTTCAATTTTGCCAAAATGCCAAGGTCACCATCAGCCAAAACTGAATCAATTTCCACTTCTATGTTTGGAGGCACCAAGCCAGCCATTGCAAAGGCTCATCAAGGAAACTTTGAGCGCAAAGCTGCAATGAATGAAATGCTTTTACAAAGCATGCAGCCAGTGCTCATGTTCAGCCAGTGCTCATGGCTTCAAAATAGACTAGGCAAACAGCCAGCACATGTTTTCATCCAGTGGGGCCTGCAAGCTTCTGTGGTCATTGTGAGACACCATGGTCCCTCTTTATGAGGGTCAAGTGGTATGCCCTCTCACCTTCATTCATGAAGGTCCACTCTGCTGCCATCTCCTCAGGGCTCGTGCAAGGTGTGTTAAGTGTGAGAGAAGACCCAAGCTGGAGCCAAGGAAAACACACACAACAAGCAGTGTTGATAAAGCTGGGTCCTCCAACCTTTCCAGCCACTGCTCCACCATGAGCACCACCACAGCTGGAGCCCACCTCCTCTCCAAACTGTGCACCAGCCACTGCCCTCAAGGCGACCTTTCCATGCATCAGCCCTCACAGTCTGCATGTGTGAAACAGGGCAAGCTAGTTCACCTTGGGAGCGCAAGCTGCAATGAACAACACATTGAAGTTTTTGCTTCAAGGATTGGGAATGCAAGTGACTCCTGGCTTGCAAGGGTTCTAGCCAATTTGAGGCTACTGCCAAAATGTGGTGGAAAGCAAACTTGTTGCTACAGCCAACGGCAGCCAAACTTTTGGGCTTCACAGCCACAAATAGGCTACAGCCATTTCAAAGGCTACAGCCAATTCAAGGGCTACAGCCAATTCAATAGCTACAGCCAATTCAATGGCTACAGCCAATTCAATGGCTACAGCCGACGCAATGGCTACAGCCAATTCAATGGCCACAGCCAACAAGGAAGCCAACACAAGGCTATGCTAAACAGCCAACAGATGGCTACAGCCAATTCCGAGCTGTCAAGCCAATTCCAAATAGAGCCAAGCAATCTTCAGATTGCAATGCCCAACCGTACTCTTGAATATCAATTTTTACATGTCAAAAATTGAAGATTTCAATGTCCAGCATAGAGATAATCACTTAGCTAACCACTTAGCCAACTGGGCTAACCACTTAGCTAACCACTTAGCTAACTAGGCTACCTAAGTGGTTAGCTGTTTGGTTATCTGGGTTGCTAAGTGGTTAGTAACCACATAACAATTATCATCAAGACAACTGCTAACTAGTTAGTAACCTCCTCTGAAAAAGGCTAAGACTTAGCTGAGTTAGCTATTCGTTTAGCTAACCTATTAGGAAAAGGCTAACCACTTATAGGACTTGCAGAGGTTATACCTGACTTATACCTGACATACATGTCAGATATATCTCAAGTATAAACCACTTACTAACTTCTATATGTTTTATAACTACTTAGTAAACACCAGGCCCATCTAAGCAGGCATAGCATTTTGTGAACCTCGAAGTGCAGATTTCGTCACTTTGTGAACCTCGAAGCGCAGGTTTCGTGGCAGGCGCAGCACTTTTTGCGAACCTCGAAGTGTAGATTTCGTGGCAGGCATAGCGCTTTGTGAACCTCGAAGTGCAGATTTCGTGGCAGTCACAGCGCTTTGTGAACCTCGAAGTGCAGATTTTGGCAGACGCAGCACTTTGTGAACTTCGAAGTGCAGCAGGTACAGTGCTTTGTGAACCTCGCTGCAGATTTCGTGGCAGGCACAGCGCCTCCCGACATCTAGACCTCTGTCTTCTTACATTCACAACGCCCACAGTCACTCTCGTTCACATGCATTCTCACTCGCACTCATGCTCACACTCACTCTCTCATTCGCATTCATAAGGCCCACACTCAGTCTCATTGACATGCGTTCTCACTCTCAGTCACGCTCACGCTCTCACTCACGCTCACACTCACTCTCACGCCCTCACTCACATTCACTCACTCACGCGCTCACTTGATGCGTGCTCTGGTAACTGTGTTCTCAGATGTGTGCTCTGTAGACCTCTGCAGACCTCTGAAAGTCTAGCTTGCTCTCATATGTGTGCTCTCTAAGCCGCTTTCCCGACATCTAGACCTTTGTCTTCTTCAGACTCTTGTTTCTAGAGTGACCTGGCGTGGTTACACCCAGCTATTCTTTTATCCGGTGCACCTGGCGTGGTTACACCCAGGTACTTTTTGCAAGCGTTGGTTTCTAGACTGAGAGATCGAGAGACGGACTCATACTCACTCTCACTCACTCACTCACTCACTCACTCACTCCACTCACTCACTCACTCACTCACTCACTCATTCACGCACTTGATGCGTGCTTTGGTGACTGTGCTCTCAGATTTGTGCTGCCGTATACTTTTCTGCTTCGGACATTAGCTTCCACTTCCTACTCCCTTGTGCTCGCGGGTGCTTCGCCTCCACCTACTACTCTCTCTCTACTTCCGGCTCCCCTCCTATCCGAACTTTCGTCTCGAGTCCGTCTAACTCTACATCGTTTGGGGTCTCTTGCCGGGATAATGTTTTTTGCCGGTTTAGTTTCTCACTGGCAAGCAAACCGGTTGCGTTCTCTGAGCCAGGCTCCCCCAGAAAAAGGGCACGTCCGCTCTCGCCCTGGCTTTGTGTCGCGGAAGATGTGCTACAGAGCTGCAACAGTTAATGAGCAAACATGTAAATAGAAAATGCAAAATGTTACATGTAATAATACATGTAGCATCATATAGCATATATTGCAGTAGAACAAAAAACTCACCTGGTATATGCTGGTATCGCAGAAAGTGAAGTTCCATGGTATCCACGGTCCCCTGAAGTATCCTCCGGAAAGTGGATGCATTTCAACCTGCTCAGGTTCTTATATTGACTCCATTGGGTATTGCCAAAAAGGTGATGCCTGTATATTTGCGCACAGCCCTGCGGAGCTAGCAAATGGAGATGATCGGAGTCACTTTGAAGCAATTGTTCGTTTTGAGACGCTTAATTTTGCTGAGCATGAGAGACGCGCTATCGAGTAGTGTCAGAGTTTCTGCAATATAGCGCGCCGCTATGGATCATGTGGGATGCTTGATTTGGCCATGTAGACAGCAAGATACATTGAGCTGCACAGGTCCAAAAACTTAGAAATTGGTTTCCTGCATGGCCCTTGCTGTTGCACTTTGTGTTCTGTCAAATGTGCTTGTGTTGTGGGTTCCCATTTCCCATTGATGTTGGTCGTTCCCTTGTTGGTGGGGGCTGGATGAAGCGCCGCCCATCCACGCAACCAGTGGCGAAAGGGGCTACAGCATTTTGTGATGCCCTATCTATCTATCTTTCTTTCTATCTATCTATCTAATCTAACCTAATCTAATCTATCTATCTATCATCCTATCCTATCCTATCCTACCCTACCCTATCCTATCCTATCCTAGCCTAGCCTAGCCTATATCCTATCCTATCCTATCCTATCCTGTCCTATCTATCTATCTTTCCTATCCTATCTATCCTATCCTTTCCTTTCCTATTCTTTCCTTTCCTTTCCTATCCTTTCCTTTCCTTTCCTTTCCTTTCCCTTCCTTTCCTTTTTGCTTTCCTTTTTCCTTTCCTTTTTCCTTTCCTTTCTATTTACCTATCTATCCTATCTATTTATTTATCTATCTAGCTTTCTATCTATCCTATCTCTCTATTTTTATCTATTTATCTATCTATCCATCCATCTATCTATCTATCGTGTGCCCAACTGCATTTAAGTTGTCCAGATTTGGCAAATGGAATATCCATCCGTGGCATTCCTCCAGTGTAGTGTGCTTCTTTCGTTCCAGCTGCGAACTTTGATGAGCTACATGATCAAACAGGCGCAAGCCACTGTGCCACTTCTGCTTGAATGCCTTCGCTTGCTCAGCCTGGATTTCCGTCACAAAGCTGGTCTCCGCTTAGCGTGAGGTCATCAAGGACAGTTCTTTCATTTTATCATGGACAGTTGGGATTTCAGATTTAGAACACTGCCACAACGGACCGTGTGCGTCGCGTCTTTTTTTTGATGTCGGCAGGCTCACGTTGGCGCGTGCGCATGTTCAGGGGACAGTTGCATTCATTGCACATACCTGGCCCGGCAGGGGGAAACACATGGGCAAGAAAAGAAGTGCGCCGGGCCCAAACCTCCTGTGTAGCCGGGCTTTATAAAACGAAGGATCATTTTGTTTAACATCCGGTCAGGAAACTTTTGGAATGTGACAGACACGGAAAACCATAAAGAACCACAAACACAAATGCGTTCTGACAAGGGCCACGGCAAAAGTACATAAATGCACGCGCGGGTTGAAACCTGCCGGGTTGTTTGTGATCTGAAGCGTTTCTCCTGGTTCCCAAGGATGGCTTTGGATTTGGAGCGTTTGTATTGGGATTGTTGCGTGCTAGTCGATTCCATTGGCTCACGGCGCGCGTTCCTTCCATCGTGTGTCGGGTTTATTCTGACTGGGAGGGATTTGCACAGCCGTAGTACTTTTATTTTTTTTAGTTTTGTTTTTTATTCGGGATTTGCTTGCCTTGGTGGTTGTGTAATGAGCTCCACCTTACACAAGGTGTCAATATGACTTGGTATGGATTTGTCCCTTGTGGTTTCACACCTGTGCTTCGAAGTTGTACTTTGCCTGTTCTGCGGTTTGAGTTAAGATTGCTGCAGCAGAGCGTAGCAGAAATTTTGTTTGCATATTTTTATTAATGCGAATCAGATTGAGGAAGGAGTCATAACATCCCACTCCGTATACATTCTTGTCTGCTGTCGTGTTCGCTTCCTTATGACTAAGGTAGTGGCCCGGAGACATCCAATGTCTATGCGAAGGAAGCAGAGGTTGAAGAGGACTAGCCAATATGTTTTGTTTTATTTTTGGCTCGATGCATTTGTACAGGAGGTCGTGTTGATGTAATGAATTTATGCAAGGATACACCTGGGCAGGTTGCTTCCGACAGCCCCTTGGCTTTTGTTTTGGACTTGGGCTAGATTCACGATAAAACTGGACTCCGATTCCTTGCGCAACAATCTTGGGATCGTGCAGTCCTTTGCCGAGGCTCATCTATAGGACCCAGGAACTTTGACAAAGATTTTCGGCCATCCAAGCTGTGCAGAATATGGATCCAGCACCCCTCGCAGTGCAGTGACAGCTGCACTTTTGCTCATGGTGCCTGAGTGGGAGATTGTGGGCAATCAAGCACTGTAGTTTGGAGATTCTTCTCAGTTGGTCCCCGTACCTACTGTAGTACTTTTCCTTTTAGTCTTGGCATGCCTTAGGTCTGATGGAGATGGCAGGTGGCGTCAACATGCACTTGGACAAGCTCGCTGCAGCAGGCCTGAAATCCGAGCGTGCCCTGTCCCCATCCCCTAGGCTTGCAGGGTCAAGACACTGCAGATCTGAGTTTTTCAGGCTTGTTTGGCCGAAAGGCAGCTGCTGCGGTAGCCGAATCCACGATGCCGCCTGTGATTCAGCCTGGCTTGGCACTTTTCACTGGACAGCGTGCGGCCAGTGGCAAAGGATACAAGGGTTCGGGAGGCGCTGGTGCAGCTGTGCCAAATGGCAAAGGCGACAGCTTCGGCCCTGATTTTGCAGAGCTCAACCTTTTCAACGTGCAACTCAAGAGAATTTTAAGAGCGTGCGCTTTTTCGTTATTCCGTCAGAGTTGGACGATCAAAAAGCAATGTTTGTTTGTGTCCTTCCTTGCTTGTTCGCTGTTTGTGCTGACGGTGACATTAGGAACCCCAAGGTAAAATAGTGTTTTCTACTGATGTAAGAAAGGAACAGCAGCTACACTACCCAAAATACATTGGACCCTGCTCCCCCACAGTAACAGTCCAAAAATGCTCTCACTACTAAACTTTCCAAGAGAAAGTGGGAAGACAAAGAGCACCAGAAGTCTCAAACTAAAACCAGACCACTTCAACAAGGTGCCATCTTCAATTGTTATTTGAAGTTTGAAGGTTGAAGACCCTGTCATCTCATGCATCTCATCTCATTCACTCCCATCATCTCTCTTTGAAAGCTCTCTCAATTCATTCATTCATTCACTCCCAGTCTTTCACCAGCCTGATGTTGGGTTCCACTGCACTGCCACCATGAATGTTTCTGTCACATAGGCACTCTTTGTCCGCCCTACCCGCAAGGTCGAAGAACCCCTCTCCCGGAGCTACCGCCTCAGGCATCGCCGGAGCCACGGGACCGCCGGGGTTTTGACCCGCCGTTTCTGCGGGGACAACCTTAAGGAACGGCCTGCCAAATCTCGTGCGCTTTCTCGTGTTTTCCTTTTTTTGTGTTTTTTGGGCTTGTTTTGTGCTTTAGTGATGTTTCGTGTTTTTGTTTTTCTAATCAGTGCTTTTTTGTCCCCTGCCGAATATCCTCCGTAGAATCTGCGAGCTTGAGCTCAAACTGGACAGCGCGGGCAACCTGGCCTGCTATTTCGCCGGCGGCCGGCCGGCCACCCAGGCGCATAGCGGCCGGCCGGCCATGTACTAGTAGTAGAAGAAGTAGTAGTAGTTGTTGTGGTGGTAGGTATAGGTAGTGGTAGTGGTAGTGGTAGTAGTAGTGGTAGTAGTAGTAGTAGTGGCAGTAGCAGTAGTAGTAGTAGTAGTCGTAGTAGTAGTAGTAGTTTTACTGGTGGTAGTAGTAGTAGTAGTAGTAGTACTAGTAGTTGTAAAAGTACTATTGTAAAAGTACTAGAAGTAGTAGTAGTAGTAGTAGCAGTAGTAGTAGTAGTAGTAGTACAGTAGTAATAATAATAGTAGTAGTTAGAGTAGTAGTAGTAGTAGTAGTCGTCGTCGTAGTCGTTGTCGTTGTCGTTCTCGTAGTCCTCCTCGTAGTCCTCCTCCTCCTCCTCCTCGTCGTCGTCGTCGTCGTCGTCGTGGTAGTAGTAGTAGTAGTAGTAGCAGTGTAGTAGTAGCAGGAGTAGTAGTAGTAGTAGTAGTAGTAGTAGTAGTAGTAGTAGTACAGTAGGAGGAGGAGTAGTAGTAGTGGTCGTAGCATAGCAATAGTATACAATAGTACCCTATAGATCAGCTAGGTTAAAAATAGCCTCTGAGGTTATTTGTTTCCTGAGGTTATTTCTAACCTCACTGAGGTTGTTATGAAGAATAACCTCTGCGGTTATTCTTTAAAACAACACCACAGTTTCTGCTGTTGTTCTCGAAAACACCATCAGAACGGTCTACCACATGGGCTGTCAAGACACTTCTTCTTTCACATTGACTCTTTGATGTGGGTTTGTAAAACATATGTGGCGCATGAATTTGTGCGAAATGTATTTGTAAATGTATTTCATTTATTTCAATATTTTTGTCAGAACATGAAAGCCTGAGGGTTTCTCTTGAACGCTTGCAGAGGAGTGTGCATTGTCATGCCACTTGACAATGCATGTATATGTGCTGCAGCTGTTAAAAGAAAGCGCAAGAGCCAAAACACAAGAGCAAAGCAGCAAACTCCAAGACACACACAGCAGTGGAACAATATAGGAAAGATTGAAACACCAATAAGCTTCACGGCTAGGACACCCATGGATAGCATTGGCAGGGCATACAACAATGTTTACATTTCCAACCACATCTTCAAAATCAATTACAAAACCAAGTACAGAATCAACAAAGATTGATGCCTTTTTCATGTAAACTCTTCAAGATATTTCAAATGAAACGTATCTTCGTGTTTTGCCAAGGTGTTTCCAGTTCAATCTGTTGTCAAAGTGTTCCCACCCGCAATCAAGTACAAGACTGAGTCTAACAATGAGTCTAACCTAAGTCTAATTGGGTTCTAATTTAGTTTTAATTTCAATCTGTAAGTTGATTTTAATTCAATTCTAACTGGTCTTCAATTCAATTCTAATTTAGTTCTACTGTCAATGTCATTGTATGTTAATTTTCATTGAATTCGAATTCTATACCAATTGTTGTTTAATTGTAACCGAGCTGTGGGCTAAACAATTCTAAGTCAATTCTACTTCAATTCCAATTTCACTTTTAAAATTTGATTCAATTGTATTTGTAAATGTATTTGTAACAGCATATTCAAGTGCATGATCAAAACCAATTCAGAAAACAGCCAGCAGAAGCGTAGCCAGGATCCCATTTCCAGCAGTTGGCTTCAAGGTTGAGGCTGTCTCTTCTTGGTTGGCTGCATTTCCTGATGCCTTTTGCACCTTCTCATCAAACTGAGTTTCCCTAGTTTGTTCGAATGTCTTTTCTTCAGCATGTTTGTATGTTCCTGTTTGAACCACTTCCTTTCCCTTTTGCCATGGTATTTGTTCACTTTCCCTTTTGCCAAGTCTTTTTCAGATTTTCTCTTTTTCAACCAATTGCAAAAAAACATCACACAAAAAAACCTATGAAGGAGGATTTCAACCCCTTGCTGAAAACACCTTGCTGAAAGGGTAATTGAAGCCCATGGAAAAGGAAGCGGAAGAGGGACAGGAAAAGGAAAAGGAAGAGGAAAAGGAAGAGGGAAAGGAACCGGAAGAGGAAAAGGAAAAGACAAGGAAACAAACAAAAGGAAAAGGGCAAATGAAAAAAGGAAAAGGAACAAACAAAAGAAAAGGAACAAGAAAAGGAAGAGGAAAAGGACAAGAAAAGGACCAGGAACAGGAAAAGAAAAAACTAAAAATAGAAAAAGGAAAAGAAAACGGAAAAAGAAAGATGAAGGGGAAAAAAGACAAGGGAAACCGAAGAAGGAAGAGGAAAAGGAACAAGAAAAGGAAGAGAGAGAGGAAAAGGACATGGAATATGTTTTTTTTGGGGGGGAGGAGGAAAGTACAGAAACAAAAGCTAATGACTAAACTGTGGGCAACGGTTTTGGTGAGGAGAGTTGATTTCCTCAAAATCTAATGACTAAAACTGTGGCCCAAACTTTTTGGGGTGAATGAAAATAAGGAAACAACATCTATATAGTGAATAAAACTGTGGGCAAAGATTTTTGGTGAGGAGAGTTCAGGAAGCAAAACTCAATTACTAAAACTGTGAGCAAAATTTTTGGGCGAGAGAAAGGAAACAACATCTAATGACTAAAGCTGTGGACAATAAAACTTTGTCCACAGTTTTAGTAATTAGATTTTGTTTCCTGAACTCTCCCCACCAAAAACCGTTGCCCACAGTTTTATTCAGTAGATTTTGTTTCCTTACTTTCATTCACCCCAAAAGTTTTGGCGACCGTTTTTATCATTAGTTTTTGTTCCCTCAACTCTCCTCACCAAAATTGTTTGTCCACAGTTTTAGTCATGAAATTTTGTTCCCTGAACTCTCCTCACCAAAAACTGTTGCCCGCAGTTTTATTCACGAGATTTTGTTTCCTTACTTTCATTCACACCAAAAAGTTTTGGCCACAGTTTTCGTCATTAAGTTTTGTTTCCTCAACTCTCCTCCCCAAACGTTTTTTGTCCACAGTTTTAGTAATGAGATTTTGCTTCCTGAGCTCTCCTCGCAATTTTTTGGCAACAGTTTTATTAATTAGATATTCACACCAAAAATTTGTCAACAGTTTTAGTCATTAGATTTTGTTTCCTCAACTTTCCTCACCAACAATTTGTCAACAGTTTCAGTAATTAGATAGGTCTCAAATGGCTCTCAAAAAATATAAATGTTTCAAACCACTCTCAAGTAAATCAAATATCTGTCAGGTTTGTCGACTATATTCCAAACAGCTACCAAAGAGATATGAAAGGACCATAACATTGTATGAATCATGCCTGACAACAATGCTTGGCTTGCAGTTGGTTGCAAAACTTAACCATGTCTTGGAGGGTTTGGTCCAGATGTGGGCCCACAGGCTTCATGAAAAAACGTGCAAAAATGAATACTTTTTAACAAAGTCATAATGAAACTTGAAGGATAAAGTATGTACTGTGTATGTAGTTTGTATGTATTTTCTATGTAGTTTGTATGTAGTTTTCCAAAACTACATACAAAGTACATATCGCCATACACAGTTTGTATGTAGTTTTGCAAAATACATAAAGTACATACAAACTGCACAAAGTACATCTCAATTTTTTACGCTTTTCTGATAGAATTTTCCTATTTTTGCATATTATTGAAATGTTGTGCGCTAGTTTGTGATGCTTTTGGAATTAAACCTAATCCTCCAAGTGTGGGCAAAAACTTTTGGTGAGGAGAGTTGAGGAAGCAAAGTCTAATGACTAAAACTGTGGACAAATTTTTGGTGCTGTGATGTGAGAGTTATTTGAGAACCATACTGTATCAGAGAGGCAGTGTGGTGAATGAAATATCTTTGCACTAATAACTGTAAATGTTTGCAAATAACTGGCGCGCGCACTTGGCAAGTACTTTGCAAATGCATTTGCAAATACTTGTGTGGCTTGGAGCTGATATCAAGTGGATCAAAAAACACTGAAAGCCTTTGCTTCCATTATCATGTGGGTGGAGCTTGGTTTGCTGACCATATCCCTTCTGCTGGCCCTCATCTACCACAAGCTGGACACAATGGTCAAGATTTGCCCTGCTCATTTCCACCAGCAGGACAACATCATTGAAGTGCTGGAAGCTTCAAAGGTGGTGCTCGAGATGTTGGTGGATCCCAGTTGCTCGAGATGGAGAGGAGTGGGACCAAAAAAGGCTGTGTTTTCCACTTCTTCAC